TCACCAGTGACGGCTGGAGTTTGTCCCAATACTGCCTGCTCTCAGTCTGTCTGTCCATCCTTGATAACGTCAGAACACTGGAACTGTGATTCCTCAGTGCTTCCTGCTGTTCTGTCATTTCCAAGAGGCAAACATAAGAACTAACTGCTTGCGTGTGCACTGTGCCATTATAGCAGGGGTCTGTTGCAGCTCTGGGCTGCAATAGTTAGATTTTGTACAGGAAGCTAGCCCTGTAAAGAGCAGCAGTCTTGTGTGATGGTGCTTTTTCATCGGGGTTTGCTCTGCTCCCTCAGCCAGGTCCTGAGGAAAGACAGAAGCATTTCCCTAACCTTACCAAGGAGGTGAAGTGCAGGAAGAGCTTACTGGGCTGGAGTTCCTTTGCTCAACAGCAGAGGGGAAAAACTCAGCCCGGTGCCAGATCCAAGAAACTGCCTGCACTCTGATAGCCAAAATCCAAGTCCTGCCCTTGCCTCTTAGGTGTGGCTTTGCCCAAACATGGAGATGTGGAAATTCTGTTTGGGTCCATCTGTAGTTAGCTGAATTCTAATTCCAGCTGCAGGCTTCCTGCTGACTCAGTTTAATAAGCTCAGCTGTGTCTGTAGGCTGGCTGCTGAAGAATAAAATGTTGTCATGCTGCCTCTGTCACTGATCCAATACAGAAACCGCACTGATGAAAAGTTCCTGCCTACCTGGTTTTCAAAGAGCATTAGTAATATGGCAGTGCTCCTTCTTACTCATTCATGTGCTGTGTGGGGGCTGGTCACCAGAGCTTTTTGAGACAAATGAGAAGGGTGGTTGATGAGGGATTTGGGTGTTTTTCTTCCTAAGAAGTCAAAGTACTGCCCTGATAACTGGAAGATTGCTGCAATTCATGTCATTGTGAAAAGACAAAAGACCTTCAGAAACTTAAATAAATTTCTATCAAAAAGGCCTACTGACAGCTTCTTTTTAGAATTGTCTCTAATAAAGTTTTTCTTCCAAAGAGGAAGATAAGCCCCCTTTAAACAAAGAGTGCAATGTATTTCTAAGCCAAAATACACAGCTGAGAGTGCTTGGTGTCCAGGCTGAGATGATAATTCTGTACTAAAGCAGCATAAAGAAGCAAAAGTAAAAATGCCTCAGCTAAGGCAGTAGTATTTGGCATGTTTTGCTTCAAGGATATGAGGAATAAATGAGAAAAAAACACCATTGTGTTCGTGCTGTGTTTTGTTTTCCCTTGCTGGAGAGATTGGTAGTGCATTACTTACATCCTAAAGAGGGAGGCAATTTGAAGCTGAAAGGAAGAGAAACAAAAGCAGAAAATCTCGAGCAGTTGGCTTTCCTGCTTAGGAGTATCAGGCAAAGGTTGTCCTGGTTGGATTTTTAGTCTCATGATTCCTGGCTAACAGGACATTTCTCCCAAGAGCCAAGCAAATAAACTGCAAGTGACTGGGGGAGGAGGTGTGTCCTGCTCTGGGCCACTGAGCTGCTGGTATCTCCAAGAATGTTCCTCACAGCTTGTCAGTTTTGCCACTTCCAAAACAAGCTCTTGATGTTGTGTCCTCCCTCTGAGTCAAACGGGTGGAAAATACCCTTAGTTTGGAAGCAGTGTTCCCTGTGGTGGGGGAAGTCCTGACACTCTCTAAGCCAATAGCTGTGGTGCTAACCAGGTGTGCCAAACCATCCTTGAGTTTCACAGCTCTGTGTGTGTGTGTCTATACATGCCCAGAGGCTCTTGTTGAGCCCATCCTTCACCTGGCTTAGATATTGCAATATCTCTGTTCTCCCACCATGCTGCTTCTCTTTCCAGAGCCTAGAAACAAATTCTGCATTAGGGGTGAGCCTCAAATGAGGCAAAATCTTGGGGTGTTCTAAAGGCTGGTACAGGCTGGCAAATCCTTTGCAGAGTAAGGAGCAATGGGGACAGGTTTGCTGTGGTAATGGTAACATCCTATTTACTCAGCACTGTTGGTTTGGCACACCAATAAGATACCTTCCCTGGGCTGTTTAGTTCCTGTTGGGTTTATGGGCTAGAAGTGGAGCACTGCTTTTGGTGACTTCGGGCTCTGTGATGTGGTATTTGCTTACACTCTCCTGACCTGAAGTGCTGCAGACAACAGTGGCGCAGCTTGGAATATCCTCAAGTAAGGAACTTCCTAAGTCTGTGATGCTGTTCCTCTTTCTTTATTTTCCAGTAGTGACTGGATATGTAAAGTAGTTGTGCCTGTGGCAAGTTCTCACGAGGGCAGTAAAATTGAGTGGTTATGGTTTGATATATGGATTTTAAATGTCAGGATATACCAAATACTTAGTTTCCCTGCCTGTAAAATGATGTCCTTGCTCTGTAGCTCAGCAGTGAAATATCTGCCTACAGGACAGGTAAGTGCCACCAGGCCCTGAGAGGGAGAAATAGTCACTGTTTTACTTTTTCCAGTAATGATGTCATCCTGTCTGCCACACCCAAAGTTCTTACCTTTCAGCTGCCAAAGGAAAAGAATGATCAGATTGGAAGGCTTTGACTTTGCAGTGACTGATGTTTCATTGTGGTTTCTGCTTTGGAGATTTTAATTCTAACTCAAACGTGAGACATAAACATCTTGACAGCTCACACAATAGGTGCATTGACCCATAATCCAGACACAGCATTAAAGGAGTCAGTCTTTACAGGCCTGTGCCTTCCCTGCTGAAAGCAGTGTTTTCCTGAGCAGACAGTATCTGCTGGAGCTGAAATAGTAACTCCAGGCTGAGCTGTGAGGAGAGGTGAAGAATCTGAGGGGAAGTGATGGTAGGCAGAGGCACTGTTGGTGGGGTGGCTTCTTTTCTGAGCTGTCTTGAAGATGTAGCACAAGTGTGGAGTTGAAAACTGATTTGTAGAGTGACTTAGCACTGCTGCAGGGATTCTGGGACCTGCTGCTGTTATGGCAGCCCTGAGAACTGTGGGGAGTTTCCCCAGCAGGTAACCATGGTGTTATACAGTGTGTGAGGCTTTTCCTTTGGATTACCCCTCACTGCTTGATGTGGGAGAGAGGCATGGCGTGCCAATTGTCTTACAGTCCCTGCTTCTCCCTCTTTTCCACCCTGCAAACTTGCAGTGCCATCTCTCCTTCCCCTGGAGTCAGGGGATTCTGGCCCTGCCTGCTCTTGCCTCTAGTGATGCCACCCCTCATTGGTGGACTGCACATGGGAAAAGCTCCTCTGGTGAGTTCCTTGTGGGGTTTAAAGGATAGTGTAACTTGGGGATGAGAGGGAGAAACAGAAGATGGGACACATGAAGGAGACCTGAAGGAGCTGTGTTGTTGGAGTGCAGTAAGTCCCATCCCTCAGGGTGTGCTCAGCCCCATCTAAAGAGCTGTGACTGCCTTGGAGGAAGCATCCACAGAGTTCACTTGTGAAAAATCCCAGAATCCACTGTGAAAACTGCTGTGTGGGGGTGGAATGAGGTCTTTCCTCCTGCACTGACAGGCTGCTGGTGGATGTGCTTCTCCAACTGTAATTGTTTTCTTGCCATATGCCTCTCCCACAGTCCTGCATCCCATGCAGTGCTGGAATGAACATGCCCTACATTGATTCTGTAGAACTGATTTAAGGGTCTTAAACTTGTGGTTCAAGTACCCCCTTCTTTTTTTTTTTTTTCCTAAGAAAGAGAGAAAGAACAGGTTGTAGTCTAAAAAACTGGTTGTAATCTTATGTGTTGAACACTTCAAGGCATTTAGTGATTTCTCAGAAGATCTCTCAAAGAAATATGAGCTTCTCACAAAGTTCATTTGTCTAATGAGTGAATTGAAGTAAAAAATGAACAATGTGTTAAAATTATTTGATGTTTCAATTAAAATATCATATTCTGTAAAAATTCATTCCAAGATTTCAGCAATCTTAAAGCAGCCTTAGCAAATGATCTCGTTTGACTCTGAATCTGAGTGCAGATGGTGTTTGTACCCTTTATCAGTATTTTCTCCCTCTCCAGCTAAAGATTCTTTTTACCCAATATAAGGTAACCTTTCTCCCTCCACCAGAAACAGTCTCTATCTGAATCTAAAACTACCAGGATTCCAAAGTCTTAATGATTAAAAAATTTGGGTGATATCAGCATGATTACATTTCACTTTTTTTGAGGTGGGTTTGTTTTGTTTTTTTTTTTTGAGATTCCATTAAGGAATTTGATTTCTCAGCAGGAACTTCATGACTGTCAAAGCCCTTTGCATTGATTCAAAGTAGATATGTAAAACTTGAGGTTCCTGTAATTACTAGTTAACTAAAATGAAAAATAATTTGCCCTGTACTGTAGAAGTAGGAAGCCATTTTGGGGTGGAGAGAAATCCTTTTCCCTCTTCTCTGGTGTGTTTTTGACCACCCAAGCAGAACTATCTTAGCTGAGGGCAGGTATTGCCTTCAGGGTCATTCACTGCATGGGTGGTCAGTCTTTGGTTTGGGAAATTCAGTTTGTGAAGTTGTGTTCAGCCTCCCTTGTCTTCATTTTTTGCCATATTCGTACTTTGGAGTGTAGTGGAACTTTTCATTGTTCTGTTTGTGTGTTTGTTTGATCTGTACTCATGTGCAGGAGTAGACAAAATTGCTATTTGCAGCTATGGTGGGTGACTTTTTTTAATGTCCCTATTTTTGTGGACTTGGCTGAGGAGTGTCTGTATCTACACAGAACTGATTTGATCCCTGAGGGAAGGGAAGAACCCACATGTGTTGTAGGTCTCTTCTCTCTGCACAGCCACTGACATCTGCAGGTGCAGCAGACACCTGGCTGGGCTGGAGCAGTCTGTGCCTCTTCATTTAAAGCAGAGAGTGGGAAAATTGCATTGAAAAGAAATGTTATCTCTAAAACGAGAATATATGCAAACTGAGGCTTTACCTAACCTACAGAAATATTGCTTGTGTGGACAACTTCTGAGGAGTTTGCACAAAGCCAAAAGTCCTGCCACAGACTTTAATTCTAAATCCCTATTTTCCATTCAATCTCTGTGTTCTGCTTCGAGTTCTCAAACCTGAATTAACATCTGTGTCTCTTCCAGCAAAGTCAAGCCCTGAAGAAAAGTCACCCTGACCTGTTTCAGAGCCCCTTCAGGTCCCAAAGAACAGGACAGAGGACTCTCCCCAGCCAGGACACTCCTTAGGGTAGAGGTGAGTAGCAGCAATAAAGATCTGGATGGAACAGAGGAAAATGCAAAGCAGCAAGGGATAACCCTGTGTTGTAGCTGTTAGTCTGACACAATTCCATGAAAAGAAGCTCATGGTTAAGAGGCTTCCTGTGGGCTGCTGTGTGTTTCAGACATATTGCAGATTGTGTTTTGGTCTTGGACTTCTAAGAGCCTTTGAAAAGTTGGGAGATTCATGGTCTCTTGAAATATGACTGTGGTTTGCTTCAGAGTTTGAATTTCTTTCTGTTTTCACTTCCCTCTTTTCTACCAGCATGCTTAGTTATTTAAAGCACAGATGTGAGGGATTGTTACTGTGAAATAGTCATTTATCACTAGCCCAGTCTTTGATGGCTAGCAGGCCTTTTGTTTGGGTTCCTTAGTGCTCCCAGCCCATTTTTGGTTTAGAAGGTGCCTGCATAACAACCAGGTTGTTGCCCTGGGTGAAGAAGGCTTGGTAGGGAGGGAGTGCCCACTTTCAGCCAGGCCCTGCTCATCAAGAGTTGAACCAGAGACTTGTGTGTGCAGCTGTGGGACTGTTGTGTCTAGGGCACCAAATGCAAGGTTCTGACCCAGCCATCAGCTGCTCCTGGCAGGATGAGGAGGGAGCACTGTGCTCCTACGTGTCCCCTTTGTGAAGGAGAGAGGGAGGCTCCCCTGTGCCCTGTGCTCTCCCTTGCTGGGTGCCTCTTCCCTTGGGCTCTGTCCTGCTTTCTCCCTTCTTCCTAGCTGGCCTCCCTGGAGGCTTAGCAGAGTTGCTCTCATGTGACTGGAAGCCTCTGTTGGCACTTGATCCAACCTCTGTCATGATATTTGTTGTCAGACTAACATATTGAAATGAGCCTGAGTATCCACATGGATCTCTTGCATTGAGGGTGGGGAAAGGCACCCTCAAGGCCCTGTGGATGTGTATGCAAGAGGCACCCTCTGCCTTGAGGCACCCTCAAGGCCCTGTGGATGTGTAGCAAAGTCAGCTGGGTTTTTCATTTCAGAATATTCTGCTGTGCATGCAGACCTGTCAGCTCACCTGCTCTCAGGTGCTCAGAAGTTCCTCTCTGATCACCCTGCTCTTCATTCTAGCCTCTGGCTCCATGGAGGGTTGTTCCACCCTCACCCAACAGCAGCTCTTGGCTTTAAAGCCCTGTTTGTAGGTTGTGTGACTCCACTGTCTGGCACATGTCTATGGCAGGAAGGAGATTTGTGCCTGTCATTCACAGGGCCCCTCTCACTGAGTCAGTTGTAGTTTCCTCAGCCCTTTTTCATGACTGATGGTGTGTGATGGGCAGCTCTCCAAAAATAGGGATATGCATCACTAAGAGGGACATTTACTATGAGACATGGCCAGACACATAAGTACAGCTGCAAGATGTGGATTTTTGGGAATTTTTTTCCTTTCACACTTTTCTTTCTTACTCTTTCACAGGACGAGGATTTCTGGTCTGAAGCAGAGGGTGACGTGAGCTGCTCTGTCCCTGAATCCATTATGGAACAGGTTAGAGTCAAACATGTCTGAAGTCAGCTGTTCACAATGCAGTGATTCTCTGGTGCACTTGTCCTGAGATACTTTGAAGGCGATAAGCCTCAGTGTTGGCTGGTGTCCTTGAATTTCCCAGAATTTCTGCAGTGTTCTGGCACTGCTCTGAATACAAGGAAGGGGATGGAACCAGTTAGGTTGCAAGCTGCTTCCTTGCAGCTCTCAGTGTGGCACTTCCCCTGGGGACTATGAGCTGGAGATATAGCTATGTAAGAGACTACAATGTTTTTTGACAAAGCTACAAACTGCTAAAACTAATAAAGGAATGGGCACAGCCCTGTGATCAGTGCATTGCACTGGTTTTTGTGATGTTAAACACAATTATGATGCTGTTACTTAGCACACTTCAATCTTACACATTGATCTGTAACTGAAATGTCTGTCATCCTCCCCCAGCCCAGCTGATGTTAGGACACAATTCTAACCCCCTACTCTGCCCTCCCACAAGCCTTTTGAACACAATATGATTTAAAAAGTATCAGTGATAAACCAATGACCAGTTGAGGAGGCTGTTGAAGGGGGTTGCCCCTGGTGCCGCAGTGAGCTCGGGTACAGGTGACCTGCACTACTGTCTGTAAGCATGCATGCTCAGATCATGGGAGGTGCGCCTTCTGTTCATCTCTGACTGATCATATCCTTTATTTTCCACTTGTTTCCATTTCTGAACCCTGCCTTTTGTTGATTTTGTTCCTTCTTTTGTCTGCCCAGTCAGATATGGTTATGTCAAGGCTTTGCAAGGTTCCACTCCCCAAAACTCCCTTTCAGTTACCAAGTTCATCCTGGTTGCGCATTGTCAGCATAACAAACCATTTTTCTTTAACTATTTTTCTTCTCCCCAAATAAAATTAGGCCTTAAGTATTTTCTTACAGGCAGACCAGAGTCAGGTTTTTCTTTCTTACTTTATTTCTGTGCTTGTACCACATCCTACTCTCTAACCTGTTTAACTTAAATTTTTGGAGACTCTCCTGGTTTTCTGGAGGCCTTAGTTGGTTATGAGGCCTGGTGTTCCAGTGTGGCCTCTTGCTCCCATCAGTCTGCCTGCCTCATGGACCTCCTCAACCTAATTAATTCGGGCACTCTGTGCTGCCTTGCTTGAAGGCTGCAGGTTGTGTGGCCATGGGGACAGCACGTGCCCATTTACTGGGGGTGAATGTGCCACTGATCTGCCATCTCATGTCACTTCTCTTGTGAGCAGCTGCTTGGGTCTCTATGAGGAGCTAAACAGGTTTATTACGGAGCTGGTTGAGGTTCCTTTGAAGAGGGAAAAGAAATGTGAACCTTGGGGGTTTTTGCAGCCTTCTGCTCTTATCTCTATTTCCCACCTTGTTACTGCTCTGCTCTGATTACATGGAAGTGGGGTGCTCCTGCCTTCTTCATGCACAGCAAGTAGAATGCCCAGTTCCCAAATACAGGGATAAAACCCTTCCAAACACAGGTGTCTGAGTAAGGGAAATGGTTGGTTTTGCTGAACTCACACCTGGTTCAAAAGCGGAACTCGGATTGGGGTTGCTGCCATTGCCACAGCTGGGAAGGTGAGGAGAAGGTGAGCTGGGTTTTCAGCACCAGTTTGTACGAGCAGAGCCTTCTGTCATTCCCCATGGGACAGCCCTGTGTGGGTCCACATCCGGGAGTCAGTCTGCATTTGCTGAGGCCTTGTGGATCCCCTGGCTGATGCTGTTCAGGGTGCCCAGAGGAGGCCACAGAGACGTGTTCAGGGTTGGAAAACAGTGCATGCCTAGATGCTCTGAGTGGGACATTTTCTAGGCATGGGCTTAACAGTGATCTCCTTATGTTTCAGATTAATGGACCTCTTCAGATGGAGCACGCATTGCTGTTCGCCTTCCTGGAGGTATCCTCTGACTGTAAGTTCAAAGACCAGCTGCATTCCCTGCAAAGCCAGCAGATCATGTACCAAGGAAACGATGACGACGAGCTTCAGACCGATGGCAATCGGAGTGGCCACTTCCGGAATGGTGAGCTAGGTGAGCAAGCTTTTCTCCATCCCACATGTCTCTCTGAACGTGGTTTTCTTTCCCCATTTCTTGTCTTTGTTTGTATTTCTTGTCTGTTTCAGAGGAGTAATGTTTTTTCTATTGAGAATCTTCACTGTGTGGCTGTTGGTGGTGTTGGTCGGGAATTTAACACTTAGGTTAAGACAACTAGTGCTTAGTACTTTCTCCATGGATTTCTAGAGCACCTGTCACTGGGTTTTGTCTGCAGCACATCAGACACAGGCACAAAGCTGGTACTGGGGATAGCTGCACTCCAGGAGTGTGATACTAAGCAGTTAAGTTAGGCCTCACGCTGCTCCTCAGGCAGTATCAATACTTGGGCTAGGATCTTTGAACAACTCGAGTTCTGGTAGTGGGTGAATCCCTTTCTGCCCCACCAGTCTGGTGAAAACTGCTCCTCAAGTAGCTTCTGGTCCTGTTCCTGCTTTGCTAGCCATCTGCATACTGCCCCTTGCCCAGGGTGTGTCAGCTGGCACATTGACCTCAACTGAAGCAGGGTGAGGAGGAACTGCCACAGTAAATAGCCCTCTCTCACACAAATTTGCATAGGTCTCATGCCAAAAGCAGGTAAAACAAGGTGTAAGGTTCTCAGCTGGAAAAGGACAGATTCAGACTAGATGTAAGGAAGATTTTTTAAATGAGGGTGGTAAAACACTGGCACAGGTTGCCCAAAGAGGTGATGGATGCCCCACCCCTGGAAACATTCAAGGTCAGTTCGGCTGGGGCTTTGAGCAGTCTAATGTAGTTGAAGATGTCAACTGCTTATTGCAAGGGGCTTGGATGAGATGGCCTTTCAAGGTCCCTTCCAACTCCAACTATTCTATGAGGTGCTGTATTTTAGGTGGTGCTTAAGAGACAAGTCCTGACAAGTCACTTAAAGTCTAGAATCATTAGGTTGAAAAAGACCTTCAATGTTATGCACAACTTCTCAGTTCCCCTGTGTGGGCAGGATGTTGGCAGTAACTGTCCTGTTCAAATTTTGGTTGGAGATGTTCTAACATACCCTGCAGTGATTTTTTCTTTGGGCAGGGTGTGGCTGCAGTTTACCTAAACTACAGATACTGTTTGCCACTATTTCTGGTGAGCACCTGGGTGCACCTAAAGAAATCATGCTTAGAGCTGCCATGGATGCACTCAGGGCTGGGAAGGAGGGTGCTAATGGAGATTAGCAAAATGCTGTGACCTGTACTGAACCTGGCCTGACTACAGCCTGTGAACTAAATTCTGCGCTTTGTGTTGGCAGGGTTGCCTCCAACAAATGAAGAGGTTATCCGGATCATTGCTGCTCAGCTCGCTGAGATTGGAGACCAGTTTGATAAAGAAATCCAAGAAAGAGTGGTAAATGGCCTAGTGCAGCACTTTATGAATGAGAATCTGTCTGAGGAGGTGAGTGAAAAGCAGCCTGATATGCAGTTCTCCTTTTAAATATTCTGCATCCTTCCTGCTGTGACTTTGAAGGCATCTGAAAATTAATCCCAAACATTTGCCTTTGAAGATTTGTTAGAGGTGGCAGAAGTTAACGTGTAAATTGGGTTCCTTGGGCTCATGTCCTTTCTGCAGATGGTGAAATGGTGGTTGTGGAAAAAGACTGACTTTGAGGCATTTTGTCCTTCTTTTGATGGCCCCATGGCTTGTCTTGGAAAGTGAATGATCTGGCTAAGGCTTAGTTTTAGTATTTAAGATCTTTGCACTTTGGTGCCGAGTCCTCTATATGTGCTGACCATCATATGAGTAAAATTTGAGCAGGTTAGTGACAGGAGCTTAACTTGTGCTGGTTACTGAGCACTGAAGAGACAGCAAGTCGTGAGACCCTTTTCTGATGCTGTGAGTGTGTTCACAGGCACAGTGTTGGGAGTAGCAGTGCGTTTAGGCCTGGCTGTGTGACCTGCCGGGGTGGCCTCTTCCTAGATGCAGTTGGCCCAGCATCTAACATGCCTTGCTGCTGTGCAAGGAAAGTGAGGTTTGAGGTCTCTTGTGTTCAAAAGAAAAAGAAAGGCTATCCAAGGATCAGATCTGCATCTGAATCAAGTGTCGTAGTTTTTTTGGGGATTTTTTTTCTGTAACAGGCTGGCTGCCATGGCTGGGAGGAAGGGGAGCAGCATCCTCGAGTGTTGCAACAAGCACCTGAGTTATTAGCACAGTCCTGGCGGGCTGTGCTGAGACCCCCTGCTGCCACAGTTGTTGCACTGAGATCCCTCTTCCTTCCACACAGGACATAACCCGGCACATGTCCAGGGTAGTGAGAGAGCTTATCCGAGCCATCCCCGCAGACATGGAACAGGAGAAGGCCATGTTGGTGCTAGCAATGGTCTTGACTAAGAAAATTGTGAATACAGTGCCCTCCCTTCTACGCCGTGTCTTTAACACCACTCGGAACTACATGAACCAGCAGTTCCACAACTACATTGTTGAAATGGTGAGTGCTGTCAAACAGCTCTGTGGGAGTCACAGCCAGCCCTTCAGCTGTCCTGGGTTATTCCCTGAGGGATAGCCTAGCTCTGAACTGCCTGTGGCCTGCTGGTTTCCCTGTAGTGCTCTGGAGGTTGGGCCAGAAGGCAGTGTCAGTCCCTGCAGAGCTCTGGAATGAGGGGGTCATGTCACATCTGCTTGCCCCCCTCTCAGAGCAGCCAGTGAACAGAGTGCATTTGTTCTGTCTGGCAGAGAGAGCTGTGACTGCTCCTCTCCTCCTGCAATCTCCTCAGGGAGCTCTACCAATAACATTCTGGTTAATGATTCTTTCATTCTCTCAGGGAAGGAAAGCCTGACCTGAGCTCTCCTGGCTGCATTTCCCCAGTGTCTTGACCCTGAGCTCTCTGCTCTTGTCTTCCTTCCTCAGCTCCCCAGAGCTTGGGAGAGCTGGAAGGGGAAAGGAATTGCTCTTGAGAATTAACACTAGCCATAAGAAATGGTCAAATCTGTTCTTGTTCTCTGCTGGCACTTGAGCAGAGGTGGGGAGGCTGTGCAGCTCGCAGGCAAGCCAGGCTAGGGGCCCCAGCTCCAGTAACGAAGGAGTCTGGGGATGGGAGAGGACAAACTCACTGTTGAGACTCAGTGCTCCTTGGGAATGAGATTTGAGGGGGTGGGCTGTGCTCCTGCCCGCGTGTGAAGCAGAGGTGACACAGTTGTGCTGTGCTGCAGGCCTGTGGGACACTCCTGCACTGCAGCCTTGCCAGGGACAGTGTTGGCAGCAACCTGCAGCTGGGCCTGGCTCACGCTGTCACCTTGCCTCACCCAGCAGCCTGGGCGCGGTGTCACTGTGCCGTGTCCCTCAACTCCGCCCTTCCCTTCACTCGGTTTGGCTCCAGGGTAAGTCACTTGTGTGAGACTGGCCGGTGCTGCTGTCCCACACTGTCCCCGCTGCTGGCACGGAAGGAGCACGGCAGGTGGCAGTGCTGACACGAGGTTCGCGGCGCTGGAGCTGCCCTGGGCAGGCACGGGGCAGGGCTTGGCACTGGAGAAGAACCCTGCTGCTGTTAATAATGCCCCTTCTGTTTCTCTCCTTCCAGCTGGGTGAGTGAGCTCTCCAGGCCTGTGCAGAGCATGGGAATTGCTGAAGACTTTCCTTGCTGGATGAAGATGACTTGATTTATTCTTAACTTCTGAAATACAGCTGTGAAAGAGATGGCAGAGCTTCATAGATAGGCTTTTGTAGACTAGCACAGCAGTAATTGTAGTGTGAGCTGCCTGCCAGCTCTGCCAGTACCTGTAGGGAGTAGTGTTTGCCTCTCTCTTTTCACACTATTTTTTAATTTAGCAGCAGCAGCTTTTGTGCAGAGCCTGCCTTGTGCCTCCACAGGCCCAGTGGGCCCGGGGCCTGTCCTCTGTGTTTTTTCTAAGCAGCTGTAGCATTTTGCTTTAGTTATTCACTTCCCAGCCCTGCTCCTGAAGCTGAGCCATGCTGAGTGTTGTTTTCAGGAAGGCCTCAGGCTATGGAATGATGGTTCATCAGTGGGGGTTCATCATTGGTGGTTCATCAGTGGGGGTGGGTGGGAATCAGGTTTATCTTGATGAGAAGCTGGCAGCAAGAGGCAACAGAGCCATGAGGGATAGAGGGGAGTGTGCCCAGAGAAGGGTGACACGAGGATACCTCAGTATCAACCACCATACACCTCTGTTTGCCTGAAAAATAAAACTGACAGAAAAAAATGTAAAGAAAAGGGCAAGGTAGGCACAAGGAAAGTTTTTTGAGAATGCAACCTGAATATGCTTAAGAAAAAGTAGTTACATCTCAGGCTGAACAAACTTGGACTCAGGTTGTTTGATACACAATCAGACAAGGTGGCAAATGTGTCACCTGTCATCCAGCTGCCTCAGGACTTTTCCAAGAATGTAAATATTTTGTAGGATTTTTTAACTTAAATAAAAATTTCATTCAGATGGCTACTACAGCTCTGCAGACTTTCAGTCTCCACCTGAAAATGTTTTGTGCAAGTACTGATGGCATTCTTCTAATTCACCATGGCTTCTCATGCAGCTGCCAGCAGTAGAGACACACTGTTCCTGTCCCTGTGCCTTGCATAAGCAAGTTTCCTGTAAGTAAAACCACCTTTTCTTTTGGTGCCTGCACTAAAATGGGGGGAGAGTGGAAGCACAGAAGTAGTCTACACGTTGTTTTTGAAAACTGTACCATTTATTAAAGTGCAACCTGGGGGCATGGTCTTACAGCAGTGTCCCATTAGCAGAGGGAAAGAATGTACATATCCCTTCACTTGAACTGAATAGTGAACAATGAAGCTGGAAAGAACTTTCTTCTCAAGGTGGAAACACTTTTATTAACCAAATGGCACAAGAAGCTTTAGACAGTTTTCCCCAAAAGGGCTGCACTTGCACATTGGAAGGAACAGTATGACGAGTTCCTGGGATAATGGGTGACCTGAGGACCAGGCAGGGTCTCTTCCCCCAGGCAGGCCTCTTGAGAACAGAATCCAAAATCCCTGCAAGTCTGGCACTATTTGCTAACACCCAGCAGAAGCCTAGCACAAGAGATCCCCTGACCTGCAGCTTCAGAGTCAGTCCCATTAGTCTTTGCTGCTTAACAAATCAAGAGGCATTCTTTTGGTCTGAGTGGGTTTTTAGGTTTACAGTTGAACAAAAGCTTATCCTGCAAGTTAAAACTGAGGACAAAGCCCCTAAAGGTATAGCAGTAAGATGCATCCTCTGCAGTTTTTTGTGTCTCCATCAATAGTGTCCCTTGCCTGCCTTGCAGATACTGCAGGGAGATCAAAAGCAGCTTTCACTGGAAGCCAACAGGACTTCCCCCACTTCTACAGCATGACCACAGACCTCTAGCTTGGAGGAAGCAAGTCAGCCTACCCAAGAGACTGAGAGAAGGTCAGCTCTAACTAGAAAAAAAAGTGATAAAGTTATTTAACTTAAGGAGGTGGAGCCGAGTGATGTGTTGTGGTTCCTCTGGCCTTAACACCACTGACCCTTCTGAGCTTCACTCCCCAGACAAGTCCTGGTCAGGTACCTTCACTGCATCAGACAGAAACTGAATTCTGTTGCCTAGACCTGGCCCTGCAGCCCCTGCTCCCTCTGGGCCTGAGAGCTTGCTCTACCTGAGTCAAGTAGTGCTAGGTTAAATTTTATAAACACCCCCCTTTCCTTTTTTTTTTTTGTTATGGCAATACAGAGCTTGCACTCTTAAGCACAGGGACATCCATTAAGTCAAAGTAATACTGTTCTTGCGACCCTCCTTGTGCTAAAATTAAGCAGTCCAAGCCACAGCTTTTGCCCTCATTAGGGGCAGATATGGTGCCTCACCCCTCCATCTTTCACAGAATCACCCAGGTTTGGAAAAGACCTTTGAGACTGAGTCCAATCCATGACCAAACATCACCTTGTCACTCAGACAGACCATGGCACTGAGTGCCACATCCAGCCTTTTCAATCACCTCCAGGGACGTGACTCCACCAGCTCCCTGCAGCCCATTCCAATGTCCAATCACCCTTTCTGTGAAGAACTTCTTCCCAATGTCCAAACTAAACCTCCCCTGGCACAGCTTAAGGCTGTGTCATCCTGTCCTGTTGCTGTTGCCTTGGAGAAGAGACTGATCCCCCCCTGGCTAATCCCTCCTTTCAGATACCTGTGAAGTGGTCTCCACTGAGCCTCCTCCTCTCCAGGCTGAACACTCCCAGCTCCCTCAGCTGCTCCCTGTGGGACTTGTGTTCCAGACCCCTCACCAGCCTTGCTGCCCTTCTCTGGACTCCCTCCAGCCCCTCAACATCCCTGCTGAGCTGAGGGGCCCAGGACTGGGCACAGCACTCGAGGCGTGCCCTCACCAGTGCCCAGTACAGGGGCAGAGTGACCTCCCTGCTCCTGCTGGCCACACCATTCCTGATCCAGGCCAGGAGCCATTGGCCTTCCTGGCCACCAGGGCACTCTGCTGGCTCCTGTTTGGCTGCTGTCAGTCATAACCCCAGGTCCCTTCCTGCCTGGCCACTGCCCAGCCACTCTGTCAGCCTCTAGCACTGCAGGGGTTGTGCCCAAAGTGCAGGACCTGGCGCTTGGTTTTGTTGAACCTCACATCACTGAACCCAGCTTATGGCTCCAGCCTGTGCAGGTCGCTCCCAGAGCCCTCCTACCCTCCAGCAGACAAACACTTGCACCCAACTTGGTGTCATCTGCAAATCTGCTAATGTTGAACTCGATCCCCTCATCCAGATCATCAGTAAGGACACTAACCAGGAATTTTTCACTGGGAAACACTTTCTCCCAGTGTGCTCCACCATGAGCAAGACACAAACAGAGCCCAGAATATGATGTTCTACTGAAGCCCTGGGCTTTCTGATGCCTGTAGGCATCACACCTGGGCCAGCCATGTGCACCTCTCCACCCCCCTCCCCCATTTCACAGCAAAAGACTCCAGTAATCACACTCTGAAACTCTGTAACAGGAACTTGCTCTGGCTTAGTGAACGAGCGACTGCAGAGCCAGAAGCATTTCTAGTTTTCTCCCAGATTAGCAACATCTATGTTACTAGGGCTTGCCAGTACTGCCATAACCCTGTAACTGACATTAAATATAGGGAAGGTTTATAACCTCTGATTATTTTATCTACTACAATCGTTGAAATGAAAGAAGACCAAACTTCAGCAGCTTGCTTGTTTAGTACTAATTAAACTTTTCATTTGTGACCATTAGAAAGCACTGATTAGTTTAAAAATCCAGTCCAAAGTTTTAGCCTAGCTGTGATCAGCGCTATGTGGGAAGGAAGGAAATGGGATTCTGGCAGCAAAACTTGCTCTGTGTAAGAGCACTCAGCACAGCAGCTTCCACCTGGCACTTGAGCTGCAGCTGCCTGAGCACAGCCAGAGTGAAAAATGAAGCCCTCACAAGCAGCAAGGGTGGATTCCTGTAGTGCTGACTTACCCCACAGCTCAAGGGATGCAGGAACCCACCAGGCTCCACCCAGCACACAGGAGCTGCAACTGGCCGGGACAGGGCCCTGCAGCTGCACTTTGGGATTTTGGGCAACAGGAATTCTGTCTTTGCTCTCAGCCTCTTGTTCCTGCACTGCCAGCTGAAGAAAGTCCTTGCCCAGCTCCCAGCCACACTGCCCAACTAAGCACAGCTTAGAATTAAGCACAGCTGAGTTTAAGTTGCAACTTAGCCTGAAAGACTTTCCCTTGACAGCTCCTTATTGAGCATGCTGCCCACTGCAGTTCCTTAAGTATTTCCCACTTTTTTCACAGATCCAGCCCTCTGCTGTTTTAGCATCTCAGCTTTAGGGTACGCTAAGGATAAAGTGAAGACAGATTGGGTCTAAGGTAGATATTTTGTTGAAGTACAGGCCACTAGAGGACAGATATTGAGGCACTTCTGGGAAGGGGATGAGCAACACAAGTGAAAGTAATTCTATATGCCCTTTTGCAAGTATATAGCTCCTGCCTTCCCTCTGCCAGCTAGGAGGATCCACTGAAGAGAGGCTGCATCACACCTTGCAGGGTAACTGGACCCTGCAGTTTAAGGTTACTGTAATATACTTGAAGATGGGGGGGAAGAAAGCTTCCATTTTCTAATTCACACCTCTCAACAGAGCAGCCTCTCACTCAGGTCTGTAGAACACTGCCATCTGAGCTTCCCCCCTCTGGTGACTTCCACAGCCTGCCCCAGCTCTGACCACAGGGCCCCAAACTCCACAGAATTCAACCCCACAGCTGACCTTTTTAACTAGAGGAGTGTTCCCAGAGGAAAGAGACTCGTGCAATAAATTTTCTGAACACGTGGTCAGTTCGAATTCTCGCTGATGTGCCAAATCTAAAAGACCCCAGAAGGAAAAGAACATTATAAAGAAAGGACCAAGCAACAAAAACATAGAGGGCAACTGATGCTCCATGAAATGCAGCAACACACCTGATACTCAAGGCTTCTGCCTGACCACAAAAATGCCTAACACAGTCATTTACTTTCCTTACTACTGCTGCCACCTTCTCACTGCTGTGCATGGAAGCTTATTTCATGCCCCACTGGGCTCCTTGTGTCAGTAAGTTTTGAACTTTTTCCCTTGCCAGCTTGAATTTATTCTTGTTTATTCTTGTCCTCTACCCATCTCCACACTACTATTGCAACAACCCCATGCACAGAGAAGATGAAGTAACACCAGCTCCACCCTCCCCCACTGGTACACAAGTTATCCAGAGTGTCCACAGACTCCACCTCTGCTTCAGAGTAACCTGCTGTGTGCCTAGAGCTGGGGCTGTACCAGAAGCAGGTTCAGGAAGGAGGGGATGTGGTTAAGAACAGTTCGTGCCCAGAGAAGAACCCAAAGCCAAAGGAGAGGGGCAGCCCTGCCCCGAGTGACCAAGCAATAAAGCTGCCCTTGCCACCTCAGGGACTGCCCCAGTCCCTGATAAACACGACATGTGAAATGAAGCAAAGCTGTTCCTGCATGCCCGTGACAGATGGAGCATAGAGACCTTTCCTCCACGTGGGGGAAGCTCCTGCAAGGGGCCAGGAGGGGGAACTGCCCTGGTGGGAAGGCAGACAGCAGAGAGCCCCTGTGGCATGAGGAGGTCCCAGCAACCCCTTCTGGGGACACAGCACAGCAATGAGCACCAGCAGGGCAACAGAAAATGGGGAAAAAACCAGTCAATTCCATTTTGCAATGCGATAAAAGATTTGGTTTGTTTTTGTTTTTTTTCTGATAAGGCCAACCTGCTATGTTTTATACATGGAAGAAGAGCAATCAATGATCAACAGTACAGTCCAGAACTCCAGAGCTCCCAAGTTCAGTCCACAGCGGCAGTATACACACAACCCTTCTTCTTAATAGTCAACTTCACACACACAGTGTTCAAAATCCAGTAAGTTTTCTAGAAAATCCATTTCACAAAAATAATTCCTCAATATCTGACACATTCTGACTAGCTTTCCAGCATCCTGGGATAGGAAAATGCAGCAAGAATATCCTAAAATAGAGAATATGCTAAGATCTCTTCATTCTGAGATCCCTTAAGAAACAGGCTCATCAGGAGATGTACTCTGGATATGGTTATTTAGAAATGAAAGTACCTTGTCTTTGTGCTTTGCAAGGACTCCCCATAAGCTCATGTTTCATTTTTTACATTATCACAAGTTCCCTTTCACCTTCCTCCATCTGGTCTAAGCCACAGTGCCGGCACCAACCCTCAGAGATGCATCCTCAGTTCTGCCTGGGAAGCACAGGGTGCTGCCCACGGAGCTACAGCTGGACAAGGACAGACACCAATGTGCTGGAAGAGGAACACTTGTGGCTGGATCCCACTGAGCAGTACTTGAAAGGCTTCTCTCCACACACACCTAAAGTGTTGTGACTGCAGGAAGGGGGATTTCCTTTTTTTGCCAAAGTTAATTGCTCATAATTTGTGAACCTGTAAGTTTAGGTAATTACAGATTCAGAGTCGCAAAAGAAATCGCACTGAACAGCACTCGGGGCAGGTCAGGAACAAGCAGATAGAGATGTTTAATGCTCTTTTGCTCAGTTACTAGAATCCATTGCTTTATATATCTGGGATTCTGTCACAGGCAAGACCGAGTTAGGACTAAATACACTCTGTGCTTAACTTGGGAAAGACAATGCAGACTGCAGCGTGACACAGGACAGCAGAGCGTTTAACATCTGAATTGCACTTGAGGCACTGGCCTTGCTTCCACACGGGTTTGCTCTATTTTTGCTGAATATACCCCAAATATCAGAATAGTGATCCCAAGGGCACCGTGCCCAGCATCCATTTCGTACCTCTGGTAACTGAAGGGTTTGCAGTATAGTGGGCTGGGCAGGAGCAGAGCAAATGGATTCTCAAACCAGCAAATAGCAGTGTCCCTCCCACCCTCCTGGGCAGCACCTCTGCCCCAACAACACCAGGATGCTCAGAGATAATACAGCTATAGAGAGGCAGCATCTTCACAGGATGGGGCTCCAGTAAACGTTAGGGGCCAAAACCAGTGTGAGCCAAGAGGTAAGAATAAGCACTGTCCCACTGGGGCTTAGGAGGAACCTGGAAGGTTATGAGGAGCAGTGCTGTACCTGAGAGGAAGCTGAGACAAAAGGGACACCAGCCTCTCGCTACAGGACTCAGGTTGGCTAATGTTTGTTAGGAGGGGCTCGGGGCGCAACGGGAAGTGACAAGACAGCACAGCTGCAATAGCGTTCAATCTGAGAAGCCAAAATCTCCAGGGGCTGGCAGCAGCTGGCTCTCCCCTTCCCCTGGGGATCCTTTGTTCCAGTTCCTAGAGTATGAGCACCCCTTTCTTCAGCACCTGCACTTTAAGTTCTTAAATTTGCAGATTTTTTTGTTTTTTTTTTAAAAATACCCCCGTACTTTAATCACGAAAAACCAGTCCCCTCCCCGATTCTACTAAAAACATGATTGTCCGTAGCTGGAGGCTTATTGAACAACCTCACCTCATCACCACTGAGTTACTCAAAAGTCCAATTAAACAGCAGGCAGCTCAACCTTTAGGTAACACAACTACAAAAATTGGATGTGCTCTCTTCTCTCCTCCCTCCTCCTCAAGAGAGCTCCGTTACTTTTTCCTAAGCGCCAGCGCTACTCCGACTGCCACAGCCAATATAGCGACCGCGGCAGCCCCGCCGTACAGCAGTATAGATTTCCCTTCTGGCAACAGGATAGGCTTCTCCTCTGCAGCTGAGGATTTCTCTTCTATTTCTTCCAAATGGCCCTCTTTCCCCACTTTTTTTTCCCCTGGAAGCAGTATTTTCTCAGGTTCTGGTGCAGCCTTTTCTTCTGATGGGGCTAACTTTGGGACAGGTTTACTTAACACGGGGATTTCAGGTTCAACAAGCTCTTCAGCTGCTTTTCCCTTTTCCTCCTGTTTTGTACGCAGAAGTGCAGAGGGATGTGCTTTTTCAGCAGCAGCAATTTCAGGAGGTTTTATTTCCTGTAAAGAAGCAGAGGTTTCTGGAAAGGCTGCCTGTATGGTCTCTGCAGCCCCAGCTGGCACCACTGCTTCCTCAATCCCCTCTGGTATCTCTTCCTTCTCCACGTGAACAATGTCAGAGTTGGAAGAGTTGTTCTCACTCCTCTCTTCAGCCCCTCCATTGCTGTCCAGGCTTTTGACTTCTTCGGGATCCATAGCCACTTGCTGCCAGGACTCAGGTCCCAGGGAGACGGGCAGGCTCTCCGTGTGCCAGCTCTGGCTCGCCGACAGGGACACGGGCAGGCCCTCCGACTGCCACGACGTGGTCACCGTGGGGGACTCCGGGGGGCTCACCTGCCCTGAGTTGTCACTGGTCAGGATGTAGATGTCATTGCTGTCCTCTGCAATGAGCCCGGGATACTCTTCCTCTTCGGATTCCAAAGTGAAGACTGTTCCCTGCGAACAAATAGGAGGACACAACACGTGAGCGATTCCTTCAGCATTCCGTCCCAGATGGGACAGAACAGAACAGGACACCTGGAAACTTGGTGAGCTGGAAGAAAGATGAGAGGGCCCCTGCAGGAGCAGCAGCTGCCTGACCCACATTTCAGTGGAGATCACAGAACCCAGCTGGCGTGTCCAGAGAATGGAAACCCTTACATGAGCTTTGCTGGGAGCTCCTCCTTTCCCTGACTTTATCACCATGACATCACCAAAAATGCACCACGTGGGCATTATTAACCTGACAAGACACTGAAGTCTGAAATCAAACTGCAATGGAAGAAAGAAAAAGAAAGCAAACACAATACACGATCCCAGCTGAGTATCACTCCCCACTCCTTTCTGTGCAAGTGCTCTCTATTGCTTGTCCATTTTCATCTAACAGCATTCCTCTTATATCAATTTTATCCCATTTCCAGTGTTATGTGAAACCTGAATTTCTACTTTGTACCAACAAAATTGGAATCTACAATAATTCTAATATTTTACTACAATTTTAGCTATTCTTATGCAAGTTCACTTTCAAAAACTGCCGTCGTAACTTTGGCTACACACCTGAAGTTGAAACAACAACCAAGCACAGACACCCAGAGATGGTGATAGGGTTTGCTTGCTTTTATTTAGCTAGAAAAAATCTGTAAGCATCCCAAAAATTTGACAATGGGTTTCAGCTGGAGAAACTGCAAGTGTAAAATACTGATTCCCTGCAATCAGCCCAGTTCGTGTACTGGGCTCTGTGTTCCACGGTCTGGAATATCCCTTTGGCCAGCTCGGGTCAGCTGCCCTGGCCACGCTCCCTCCCAGCCTCCTGTGCCTCTCCTCACTGGCACAGCACGAGACACTGCAAGTCCTTGACTCAGGGTAAGCACTGAGCAACAACTAAAACATCAGGGTGTTACCAGTGTCACTCTCCTCCTAAATCCAAACCAGAGAATTGTACCAGCTAGGAAGAAAACTAACTGGATTCCAGCTGAAATGAGGACAAAGAGATGGGGGCAGAGAGGAATTCCGAAGTTTCCTATGCCATATAATAGAAGTCTGTACAATAATTAACAAAGACTCAGTAACTTTCTTGCTTGTAACAAGAATGACTTGAACATTCTATCAAGTACTGCAGTGCTGGGAGCCCCTTCTGTGCAAATTCCAAACTTTCCTCTACAATCCATCATAACAAAAAATTCCATTCCTTCTCTTTCTCCATGCTCCCTTCCACACACAATAGCTCTCCTAAGGCACTCTGAGCAGTTATCCCTTTTTTAAACCCTTCCCTGTGAATTTGGGGCTTGATTCCTACCTATAGATTCCCATTCAAAGATACCTCCTTGGTTGTTCCAAATTTTTTAGGGATTCACACAGTGACCTGTGTCAGGAACTCATCCAGTTAAAAACAACCACACTTCTTATTTTGTGGAGATATTTTTAACCCTTAGCCCATGGAATCTTGGAAAATATTTGGTCATGGGCAAAGGAGTATTACAGAACACTTGAAAAGGAACTTTTCTTCATAAATGCCTTTAAATTGTTGTGGGAAACATCATCCAGCTTGGTAAAATGTTCAGGAACCAAAGTAAAATAATGCAAAGAGTTCCTCAGGGGAAGGGTTAAAAGCAATTAAGCTGTTCACTAACCATTTGAGGATCACCACAAAGTCTTAGTTCAGAGTGCAATAAAAATGAGTAAAACATTACAATTGTGAAAAAGTTCAGACACCAGACACCAACCATGTGCCAAACCCAAAGCAAGCTCTGCTCTGCAAGCAGCCACTGACAGTTCAAGACTCCAGTATCCTCTTGAAAGTCATGTTCCAGTAGAATAACTAAATTTTTTTTTTTAATAATGCCATTCAGGCCATTAAAACAAAACAGAGCTCTGCACGTAGGAGGAAGCAACCAGCAGTGCAAATAAGAGCAGTGGCAAAGAGGAGCCAAGAAACTGAAGTAAAGGCAGAGGTTACTGGATCCAAAGAGACCAAGCACTGAGCGAGGGCCAGGGCTGCTGTGCAGCGTGGGAGGACAGGATCCAAACCTGTCCTGTTCCAGCAGACACTGGAAAGCAGCACAGCAGGGAGTCAGCCACTGTCCTTGGCTTCCCCCAGCCTCTGCTGAGGATGGACAGGCAGCCTGCTGCCCACACACTCTGAGACTGCACACTCACCCCTCTGACCAGCAGGTTTTGCCCTGGACGTTGTTAAGTAGGAAATACTCTCACTGGAATATAAGCCACTAAGAGACACCTACAATCAAAGCAAATTTTTTACTTCCACAGGTGACACACTCAGAAAAGCTGCAATTAAACAACAAAATAATTAGGGGTAAAGCCTGCAGTGCCATGAACATCTGTACTATCCTCCTCTCTGTTCAGCTCTTCACCCCCACAAATCAGGATGAATTTATTTCCCGTCCACACCACATCACAACACACTAGACCATGTCTGTGGTGTGACATTAGAAGAAAGAGCAGGGACACACACCACTGATAACAGCTCTGCTCTTAACATTCCAGTGGAAGTGCACACGTGCACTGACTCACTCAGCATGAGGCATATACAAAAATACTCCAAAAATACACTGTGCTGCTGAGGATTTGTGAGCTCTGGTGATTGCAACAAAAAAAAAAAAACACCAACAAGGGCTACACTGAGACGGCCTGAATTCCCCTGAATTCACACACTGTGCACTGGTGAAAGCCAAGAGGCTCTGAGCCATGACTCAGCAGCCCACAGAGGGGAGAATGCAGCCACCTGTAGTCATGGGGACAGGGGGTACAGAGACTGCCCTGAAGTTACAACCGTCCTGATATTTCTACATATGTACCTTCACTGGAGATTTGCTTCTCACAAAATACAGGCAAGGTCTGGGCACATCCAGAGGGTAACATGCAGGACAAACTGCTTTGGAGAGGGTAAGGAAATGAAGGGATGGTTACACAAGGAACATGGGCCATCCTCATAATTTCAAATCCCATGTCAGTAAGTGTAACAACACTACACACGCAGCCTGCCTCCAGCAGCAGGGCCAAAGGGACTCAAGAGTTTTATTGTTCCTCTTCTCACGCAGACTGTGCTGACCTCAAAAGAGTTATCACTGCTGGCTCCCTATAAATCAGAGCCTTGTGCAGCCTGGCTGGTTCCTTTCTGTCTTTACAGACAATTTACCTTCCATGTCAGTGCCTCAGGGCCACAGCTGCCCAGGCCTGGACAGACAGATCTCCCTGCCTGGGAAGGCTGGGGCAGAGCTGACACACTGGCAATTCCTGCACTTTTTCGTGAAAAGCTTGTGAAGCTTTAATTGAAAATCCAGACAGTAATAGGCATTATTAAGGATACGTGATTAATATTTCTTGAGCTGAATTAAGATTTAATACATAAAGTCAAGCGGATAAAGCTCGGATTTTGTGCTGGTTCAGTTGAGGTTTGCACTTTGGTGGGGTTTTCTTTCCTTTTAAAGCAGCTGCAATAAAAACTGAATGACACTTAGGACAACTCTCTTGATTCATCTACAGATGTGACCCAGAAGCAACGCTCCAACAGGCAGATTATTTCAGGACAGGATGGAACATGTGGAAGGATTTTTAATAACCTGAGGAGGCCTTATATAAGCCCTACATTTTAGTTTTAATAGTAAGTAAGGAATGTATGTAAGCATTTCTTTATCTGCTTTGTTTATTGTAAATAGACAGTACACTGCTGCAAACCAGAAACATCAGGGTTGTTCTTTTTCAAATTTGTGGTTGGAAACTTGCCAACTTGGGAGTGCTTTTCCTCTCCAGCACATTTAGAGAACCACATCAGGTGTGGCAGAATAGCTGGAGTCCCCCACTGCAGCTTCCTGCCACTCCTGATCCCAACCACTGCCACTTGAGGGAAGAGTTGGCACAGCTTATGAGGAGACAGAGAACTGCACATTTCCCTGCTTGGCTAGAACACAGCCACATCCCATGAGGCAGTCTTGGAGAAAAGATCAGCTAGGGAAATCAATCACTGTCCTCAGCTTATGGGGTTTGACCCAATGTCGTAGGTTAAGAAGGAAGTGAATTTTTTGGGAGGTTGTGGTCAAACCAATCAGTGCTTGGATCTGAATATTGGCACAGTACATAATATCCAGCACTAACAGAACACACGATTGGGGATACAAGCATCATAACCTCACCCTAGGACATTCCACCCCTTATCCCCATACGTTCCACAATCTTCAAGTTCCACTTGTACAAGTGACAGGAAGCACTGTTAACAGATGTGGCACACCTGCCCTCAGGAGAGGCTAAGCTACAGGGTGAGAGAGCCACACTGGACAGCAGCAAGACGGTAACAAAATAATGAAAAAAAAGGTCTGAAAGCTCCTACAATAATATACTACAGAACTGTTCTTAAAAACACCTGTTAACTTTCAATTATGATTTAAAGCCAGCAAACATAACAAAACCTCCCCTAAAACATAGAAACTGACTCTTATGTTGTCTATATTATCTTTCACAGTTTGCCACTATTTCTATTATTAAGTGTATACAAACAAACAGGCTCATTACCTACAGTATGTATTTGCTAAACAGAAAAACCTTAAACTACACATAAAGAAAAAAAAATTCTTATTTAACAAAATAATAATTTCAGCATGATTTATACAAAGCTGCTTCTGGTGCCAAGAGATACTTAAATCAAAATTCTGAATGTCTCAAAGATAAAAGCAACTCATTTCTCTACAAAAAAATAGTAGGAGTAGTAACACACACTGCATCTACAATAGAGATGAAATTAGAGCAGAAGAGATCCCCATTAAGGTGTCCAATAGAGCATTTGCTGCATCTTACAGCAGACTTCCAATGCCTTGCCCTGTAAATTCCAAACACCAGGAAAATGCAAAACAGCTGTGTCTACCTGCTCTTGAAACTTCTTCTAGGGTTTGGTTTTAAGTGTTCTTAAAAGTTCAACTGGTCTCTCTGGTTCAGTTCTTGAAGTA